ATATATATATATATATATATATATATATATATATATATATATATATAAAAGTAAGGACAAAGATTAATAATATATAAAATAATATTAATAAATGTAAATTAATGTGTTTATTAATATGTTTATTCGTGAGTATAAATGCTTTAGAAAAAATTAATTATGTAAATATAAATTTTAATTACAACATGAAATGTATTATTTTAAATGCAACCTTCAATTATATATAAAATATTAATTTATTAATTACAAAAAAGAACAATAAAATAATAATACGAACAGCTGTTATTAAAGGTTGATTAACTCCACATTTTAGCTTGTCATTGCCGTGTTTATAGGTAATTAATTTCACCATTTCACCCATATCTTATTTTTTTACATTAAATTGGACGCAATTCATGTTCCTTCAAGTTATCGTACAGCTATCACATTCAATGGTGTCCTCGAGCATAGTAAGGTAGGCAATTGCATTTTTAGAGGAACGTTATTATTTTTTTTAAAAATGTGCTAAATCATTTAAGTAGTTTAATGATAAGTATCACTATTTTGCATAAAATTTTACACAAATCACTAATTATACTAAACTAAATTATTGAAAATGATAATTTTAATTAATTATAGAAATAAAATAAAAAATACATAAACAAAGATAAATATTATAAGAAATCTTTTTTAGTATTCTTACAAACACTTAAAATGCAAAAATTGATTTTAGCACAATAATAAGATTTTTGAAATTTAACTTTACCAAATGATCTTTTTATGCTTACAAACAAATTTTAATTCAATTATAAGTTCAGATATTATCATTTAACTCATAAATTTACTCAAAACCTTAATTTCTTACAAGTTAGAGTCTAAATTTATTGACTAATTTATCAATTATTTACATAACTTAATCAATAACTCAACTTTAAGAACAAAAATTTATGAATAACTAATAGCATTTACTTTATTCCTAAAACTAAACACCATTAATTTTCTACTTTAGTTTAAAAGTTCACAAGCATTTTCCGATCACCTTAAACCCACAAAATCAAGTTAAGGGTGATCAAACTAAAAGAATCATTAAGTAAAAAAGAGAGCAATAATACTAAATAATAATTAGGATTAATAACTTTGAATGTGAACATAAAGATGGATATGGTTATATCAAATCGCAACAGGAGTGAAATTCGTTACACATAAACATGAAATATAAGAAAAAGGAAGAAAGGAAGAAATTTGATTTTGAAAAATTGAATGTTTAAAAATAAGAAACCAAAAACCATGTTATTTCATGTCATTGTCATTTACTTATTAAAGACTTTTTTATTTTATTTATAGATTATAATTTAATTTTTTGTCTGTACTTGTTTAATTATTTACGTTTGAATATGTTGCCTAGAAAACCTTTTAATCATCTAAAATTAAAAAAAAAAAAAAAACAAATTGTAATTAATATTAAATTTTTGTATAGTATTACTAAACTTATATCATTATCTTATTAAGATTTGAACTTATGTTCCAAACATCTTAAAATTTATCTAAAATGTGATAATTCTTATAATCTTATTGGTGGAATTTTATTTGATGAATTAAAATTCATTAGAAAAATTTTAAAATTTGAATCAAAATCTTACATATATAACTATAGAATAATATTAACTATTATTGCTCTTGTTCTATACCGAAAGAAGCATTTAAAAATTAAAATTGTTAATCCTACTTGCAATCTATCATATTCAAAAGGTAGATTAAATAGTTTTATTTTGATTTTTTATTGAAATTATTTTTTTAAAAGGATTTTGATTATGAACATATCATTAATGATTTTATAGTAAAAAGTATATAAAAATAATACTAAGTGTCAATTTTTTCCATTCATTTAGAACAAAAAAAAAAACTCAGGACTGAACCTAATCACGTTACTTGCCACAGATTCGACACCAGTGGATATGAGAAGTGCCTAAAATATATAAGATGGTATTTTCCCTCTTTGTGTAACACCAACATGCACCCACTTGTCAAAAATTCAACGCTGATAAATATGACAAGTGCCTAAACTACATAAGATGCTATTTTCCCTCCTTTCCTTGTGTAACATCAACATGCACCCACCTCATACGTTAAAAGTACATGTCTCTTTTTTACCCGGTGGACACGTAATAATTGCATTATTTGATAAAACTCTTCTATGCACCAAATTTGATAGAATGGGGTCCTATCTTGTATTAATCTTTATACAACAACTTGAATTCCCAATGGAACATCCTTATGTTGGTATGTGAGATGTAATAACTAATAAGTATCACTCTATGTGATATCGAGGAATCTTCCTTTTAGTGCCATTTCTCTTCTACACTTACTCTTGATACTATTTGCCTCCAAACACCTATTTCTTGACATTTTCTCTCTCATTCAAATAAATTTCTTCTCCACAATGTACTTCCCTTTCCCTCCATACACCACTTGCCCTATTGTGTCTTCCTTTTGCAAGGATTAAAAAACAAAAATTAGAATCTTTCCTTCAATAATATCCCCTCATATAGAAGTCCTTCTTCCATCACTAATTTGAAGTAAAATAATAAAGATCTTCTTTAACCATATAAGTTTAATATCTTTCCACCATTGAGATCAATGTCTCCCACTCCTCACCCACCCCTTATTTTTCTTCTCATACCTTAACATTTGAACCACAAAGATTGTGCCTCACCCTCATCCTCGAAAACAGATATCACCAATTTTACAATTCTAAACATATGTATGCTACGATTAATATTAATATTTAATCTCTCAATTTTACCGATTACATTTTTTTAGTAGCAATTGTACATGATCCAGCCAACTACCAACTTTTATGATAATGTTTACTATAGGAATACTAAAATATTAAACTGGTTCTGTTTTTCATATTAAAAAACAACTGTTTGGTGAGTCAATAAGCTCGTGTTTTTCCAATACATGTCATAAGTATTTTTTTCATATGCTATATCAATAATGTTTGGTGTATGGATATTATTCGTTGCCATTAAAACTTACACCAAATTTTAGCTATTAAATTAACATAATCTAATAACCCTAGAGTTCTCAGCTGAAAAAGAAAAGAAAAGAAAAAAGCATCTTATTGATCACAATTGTATTGGTAACTCCTGCTAAAGACTTGAATCCCTCAAGCCCTCTAACAACGTCCACAAATTCTATTTAGCTCAACCTCTACTAGTATGTTTGGAAAATAGTTAAAAGTAAATACAACTTCCTTTTAATTCAACACAGCTACCTTTTTATTTCTCTATCTACAAGTTTGGAATGTGTGAATTAAAATTTAGAGCTTTACAAATGACAAACCAAATACGTACTACCTCATAATCTTTGGAAATAAATACTCAAAAAAATAGAAATTAAACATGATATTTTTTTTATAAATTAAGATTAACTCTTATATGTTATTTAAAAAAAAAAACAGTTTGAAAAGACTTTTGCAGATTAATTTAGAAATAAGTTAATTTTAGCTTTAAATTGTTTTTCTTATTTTCTCTTATAAGTAGAAAATTTTATTCAATCATATATAGGGTCTATTTATTAATAGAATCAAGTTCAAATGGTTGAGAATGGTGGATGAGTTATTGCAACCAAACTTTAAACCTCATCCTATATTAAATTAAACCCAAAAAAATGTAACATCTTTTTTTTTTTAATTTTAAATAAGAGTATTTTTGACTCAGAGTAAAGACTAATTATTCATAGTAGTATTGATATTATTCAAGTGATTGACTTCTTAAAAAAAATCAAAAAACTTATCCCAATATACTTTTTCATATACACATGTACAAAAATTTAACTCTAACTCTATATATTTAAAAGACAAAGTTTTTTGTGAACCTAGATACATCATGTTGCTAAAGATATAATCCGAGCTGTAGTATATTCTAGTTGCCGATACATTGTAGTTCATAATTCAAAGATTGTCAACTTTTTAATCATGCTAGCACATTTTAAGATTTTTATATTAGTTATTTGTCAAGGGTTCAAAGTTTAGCTTTTAACATGTTATAATGTCAATATGTTTTTATTATTTTATTTTGTTCTAAATATGCTTTTCAACAAAAAAAAAATCTAAATAATTATCCAACAGCCTCGACACTCACATTTTCTTTTTATTTTTTGAGTAGCAATTGTACATATGATTAAAGGCATCAAATAGAGGATAAGACCTTTTGTCTTAAGAAATACAGAAAAATTAAACTGATTTTTTTTTTCAAATTAAAAAATCTGTCTGGTGATTCAAGCTCACACTGTTCCAAATATATGCCATATCAATGATATTTCGTTTGTATACTCACATTAATTTTGTTTATAGATAAAGCTGATGTTAATTTAATTCCTTAAAATCAGTTGATTTATTTTCTCAATCTTAACTATAAGGAAAATATTTATATGACAATATTTGAAAAATTAATTTTATTACAAATAAAAAATTTAATTATTAAGTTAAGTAAAGGCTTGAATAACGATAATTAAACTTTAGTTGTATGCAGAGAAACTCTAAATTTGGTCTTAAAAAATGCAGTTGATATTAATTAAATTTTTAAGTATTTAGAACTATATATAAGATCATTCTTCAAAAATATGAATTGCCTCAAAAAACTCCAAATTATTAAAAAAATTGATTTTTATTTGGTTTATATGCACAGACGATAGAACTACTAGTAACATAAATTTTCTTTTCATATAATATTAATTTCGATTGTTATTATATTACTCAAATTTTTATATCATTAATATTTATTTAAAATTTTCTTATTATACCTAAAGTCAAATTTAATTCTCTAACCTTAATTAGACTAGATTTTTATTTAATGTTAAATTACTATGACATTTTGAATTTGAATTTGTAATTTTATGTATTTTGATGAATTTATTTGAACTTTTTTGTGTGAGTTTTTTAATGAATTAGTTTAAAGTTATATTGATTTATTTTAGATAAAATTATGTTTATTAAAAAAATACAATAAAATATTTAATTTAAACAACTTTAAGTTTAATTAAATTAGATTAAATTTATATTTTAAATAAGAACAAGTGGACCATATTCTAAAAAGAAACTATTATACTAAATAAATTCCATAAAAATCAATTACTCAAATGTTTTTTTTAATATTGTTAATTTTTCTGAAAAATGACAATAATGAATTTAAATTTATAACCATTCGTAAATTACTCAAAAATCTCATACCAATCTTAATAGATTATTTACTTTTATTCCTTTATTTAAAGATGTGAATATAATTCAATATACAGTCACTCTATCTATTTACAACCGATATAATATATATATATATATATGTGTGTGTGTGAAAATCTATTTAAAGATCGATTCCTTTTAGAGAGCATAGTTATCTATTAATTATTCTATACTAGATTGGTGATACATGATGTACATATTTACATAGTTTAAAGGTATGTTATAAATGTTATCTATTCCAATATCTCAACTTATAGTACATTTTTCTAAAATTGGCTTAATATAATTCTAGCATATAATTTTATACTCATGAAAAATATCACATAATTCTATATATAAATTTAAATATACTCCTTAGAGTGGCTTAAATTTTTAATTTATTATTTTTTAGAAAATTCTACATAATATTTTTAACTTATTTTAAAATTAAATTATGTATATGTTCTTTTACGGTTGTAATACTTTTATCTTTTGACCTATATATTTTAAATTTTTATCTAAGCTATTATCAACTATGTTCTTTATAATTTTAATTTTTTCTTCAAATATTTTTTTAATACATATTAAAATCTCGTTATAAATTTAAAATATACATGTAATATATGCGGATGCGGCATTATTAACTTTTTTTTATTTAATTTTACTTACCAAATATATATAATTCCAATGACCAAAATGATTGTTGGTAAATTTAGTAATCTTCAAATAGAACTCTCATTAATCATTAGAGTGTCATTAATATAACAAACCTTTTTATAGTTTCAATAATTTATAGCTGAATCACAATTGTTTGTTAGTGACTTTATTAATTTTCAAAAGAAGTTGTCATTAATAGAATGTCATTAACAAAAATCTCGTGTAGTTTTAGAATTTTACTTGAATTTTCAATTGAATAATCATTGTTAGTTAATCTAGTAATTTCCCACAAGATTGCCATTGTTAGAAACGTCATTAACAAAAAACCTTTTATGATTTCACGTCCATTTTAGTTCCATGGGAAGAGAATCCAATCTGAACTTGTTGTATTAAAAATAAAGAAAAGAAACGGAAAGCGTAAATCGCTTTACCCTTTATGGAGCCATCCACCACAGACCATTAACTATTTCTTTAAAGGTAAAATTATAAAAAAGAATTAACATGTCCAAAATTTAAAAAAAAAATCCACAATATATTATGCAGCACTATAATAACTAGAAAGTAACACTAGGATGGTTCAAGATAATCTCTGGCCTAAAAGGAAGCCACGAACTCGTGCTCTGAAAAAAGGAGAAAAAAAATAATATTTGCACACTCTAACAAAGCTGCACCTTGAGAGAAAGAGAGAGGGGAAAAAAAGTAAGATTGGGATTATATAATAATTGATGAGATAAAGAAAAATAAATATAAAAATAGAGATGATTTATAGTGTATAAATTTATTTTTATATCATAATACTAAATTAGAATAATAACTTAAAATAAAAAACCTTTCTCTAATTGAATATTTTATTTGTATTTTTTTTCTTTTTACAAAAATGGTAGAAAGTGAAAGTACAACTAGTGTTTAATTGTTAGGAAAAAGTTTAGTCCAAGATTTTAATCACTTGTGTCAATCAGTAAGAGTCAATCTTATTCAGCAATTAACTTAAGACCATTAGTAGCAAAAATCCAAAAATGAAAATACAACTCTAATTTTACAAATAATAAATTATCTTTTTGATGTTAGTTTTTTTTTTCTATATATAATTTTTCTTTTCTTGTTCAATTCCTAATCAATTAACTAAAAATTCTAAATTTTTAACATATAAAACATTTTTTAAGACATTAAAGAAACTTTGATCATTTTCAAATTTTATGTTAACAAATGCAAAATTTTTCTATATAATAAACAAAAAATTTAAAAGATGATTATACTCTTTACATACCATACCAAATTACAAGTAACTTTTATGATAAATTGCATTTTTCTCCACAAGGTAGGACCAACCCTACAACTTGTATTGGTGATTTTTGTCCTTTCCACATGTACATTTCATATACCCGTACAATTGATGTGTCAATTTTTATGGAAAAATAGGTATCATCTTCTAACTATATTTTCTTTATCTACGAGACTCAATCTTGGAATCTTGAAATCTTACTTAAGATTGATGTGTCAATCTTGTACTATTTGAATCAACCACTTCTTTATTTTAATTTGACATTTATATTTAAAAAAAAATGTAAATTGTGGATATTAAATATTTATCTGGTATAAATTAAAGCTGTAGAACCTAAAATGAGAATATTATTAAAAGAAAAAGTGATGGGAGGACAAGAATGAGTGTAAAGAGAGAGAAGAGATGAGGTCGGGTGAAAAAGTGGTAAAAGGAAAGAGAAAGAAGCAGTGATAATTTGTGATGTGGGCATTAGTGGACGTTGTCGTTTTGTGTATCCTTTGTTTCTTCATCCTCCTTAATCGTAAAACTTCCACTGTCCCTCGCACTCGTTTCACACTCGTAATCGTAAACGCGATTCCTTACTCGCCAAGTCTATTGCCTCGCCCGATGAACGCCACGTGTCGCGATCTCCTTGGTGACTCGTTTTCCACCCACCCCAACTTCCCATTTTACCCCTGCACCCACCACCTCACGCGGTTAAGAGCGCAATACGTTGTATTATTCAGTGCATATACGAGGATAGGAATTTATATTTTACAAACCATTGTGTTTGTGTTTGTGTTTGTGTTTGTGTTTGTGTTTGTGCTGAGAAAAAAAAAATGAGTCTCTCTTTTCACTTTCTCAGCAACTTCCTTTAACCGTGAGGTCACGACGGAAAACTCAAAAAGCACCTATACTCTCCTAAGAATCCCTTTGATTCCCACTTCCAATTCGCCTAAAGATTTTCCCTTTCTCTCCTTTTCTCTCTCTTTGCCTCTCTGGGTCTTGTCAAAGCTCGCTTAGCCGTCATGGGTGCCGTCGTCGAGTGCTACCCGTCGCCGCGTACGGCGGTGCTGTCCCTCAACACTTTGCCGTTAGGCTTCCGTTTCCGTCCCACCGACGAGGAGCTTATTGATTACTACCTCCGCTCCAAGATCAACGGGAATGGGGACGACGTTTGGGTTATACGTGAAGTTGATGTCTGCAAATGGGAGCCTTGGGATTTGCCTGGTATTGTTTCTTCCTCTCTTTGGGAAATTTTATTTGGGGTTTATCTGTAATTGGGAAAGTTGTTGTCTTTTACTTTAATAATTTTGCTCTTACTGTTGATTTAAAAATAAAAATAAAAATTATGATGTTTCTCTTGAACTAAACTCAATACACTTATTTTGATGTTCTCCAATCGAAATCAGCATATTATTTTGTTGGATAGCTGAGGTTATCATTTATCAAGATGAAATGCTGATTTTTGTTTGAGATCAAGTGTTTATGGTAGTATGATTAAGTTTTATCCTTGTTTTGGGAGGAAAGGTAGTTTTGAATAGCTGGAAATGGAATTAATGGTAAACATGGATGTGGAAGATGGCTATGCTGTTTGATTTGCTTATATTGTTCTTGATTGTTGGGTTTTGTGGGGGATGGGGTTGTTTGTTTATTGTAGATATGTCAGTGGTACGGAACAAGGATCCAGAGTGGTTCTTCTTCTGTCCGCAGGACCGGAAGTATCCGAATGGACACAGGTTGAACCGAGCTACGAATAATGGGTATTGGAAGGCTACGGGGAAGGATCGAAGGATTAAGTCTGGCTCCATGTTGATTGGGATGAAGAAGACTCTGGTTTTCTATACTGGTCGTGCTCCCAAGGGGAAGAGGACCAATTGGGTTATGCACGAGTACAGGCCTACCCTGAAGGAGCTTGATGGAACCAATCCTGGACAGGTATAGTCTTATCTCCAACTTTTGTTGTTTGGTATTTTTGCTTTTTGATCTTTGTAGTCATGGTGTTTTGACATTGAATCGTTGTAAACTTTAATAGCTGTATTCTTTTTCTCCCTCGCCCAAGTATATAAGATCCTCAATGTTTGATTTGATGAATGATGATCTATGTTTCTTCTTCTATTTGGCTCGAGGTTGGATAGAGTGATCACTTTACATATCTGTGATAGTTGAATAAAGCAAAGTTGATTCGCTCAGCTATTAAAATTTTGTTTTAAGGTTTGTTACTTTGTTTCTTCTCTTTTTTTTTTTTTTTTTTTTTAAGTCCGAGGGTTGCTCTTTTACCACTTCTACTATTCAGTAAAATTCTCATGGTTTTAATATATGAAGCATGTTATTGTTTGCTGACTGAGTCAAACCATGTTGACTAATGTATTTAACAATGTCTTTGTGTTCTTATGTTGCATTTTTCTAGTTCAATGCACTATTAATCATTTCCATTACCTCTGGTCCAACTGTTGCAACCCTTATGCAATAGTGTACCTACGGGTCTATACTTATTATTTAACATAAAGCTACTGCATATTATGTCTATCTTAGAGTGTACATGTTGATGATGATGATATGGTGCTGACTTTTCAATTTGGTTGATTTGACTTATTGCAGAATCCATATGTCCTTTGTCGATTATTTAAGAAACAAGATGAGAGTATTGAATGTTCAAACGGTGATGATGTGGAACGGAATACTTCAACTCCTACAACTGCCAATTACTCTCCAGACGAAATACCATCCGATTCAGCTCTGGTTCCAGCATCTTCCTCACAGGTTACTGAAGATGATAAGCCTCCAGCAGTTATCACTGAGAACTCTGAGGAAGCGATATCCAACATTATATCTCCGGGTGATTGCCATAGTGATGGATGTGATGCTCCCCGTGCACTAAAACACATTGTAGAACCAGCTGCTGAGGTTAGATTGGCTCATTGAGTTTCAATATTTTTTTTCCCTTTCGTTTTCACCCACCCCCTAATTTTATTCAAGACATTGAATTTGTTGGTTTCAGGAGGATCTGCCATTTGATGTGAACATATTTTTTAACACAACTGAGCCATTGGATGACAAATTATTCTCTCCTGTCCATGCGCACTTCCCACAAGAAATTTATTATCAAACTAACAATCAACCCGAACTTCAGTATGGTACAAATGAGACAAATTTTTCAAACATTTTTGAATCGATTAATTGGGATGCGTTCTCCTATGATACTAGCAGTCTAGATGTGAGCTCATCCTTGCTTAACATTAAGGACAATGGATCAGGCAGTGACTCAGATGTCGAAATGGCCAATATAACGGTGAGCAGTAGCGCTAACCCTTTATTCATTCATGTTTTTATGTTAATAGCATGGTAGTAAGTATCGTAGGAATCGCGATTCGTATCGTACGATACGATACGATTCCGTGCTTCAGCGATTCGAATCGCATGGTGTATCGTTTTTGATCCTGAATCGTTTTCGAATCGTTTGTATCGGGTTTAGAATCGGAAAATCGCGATTCTGGAAGGTCTCGCACGATTCTGGGAAGAAACGGGTCGCGTCCAAAACCGGGTCGGGTCATGCGCGACCCGGTTCTGAAAACCCTAAAAAAAATGATTTTTTTTAAATAAAAAAAGACGAAACTGAGACAGAAAATGCCGATACCCATTCCTGTACATGACCCACTTAGTGGGTTTCACTTTTAGTGGTCCCTTTGTCTCGTCCAGGTTCGCAGCTTCGTTTGGATGGCTGTTTGGGTTGCTGTTCTTCGTGTTAGTGGTCCACTTGTTGCTGAGTTTATGCAGCAACAACACTAATATTTTTTTTGGGTGGCTATATTGCTGATTAGAGTAGCAAACAGTCCCTTGTATATGTATATATTTAGCAACAACAATGATTTTTTTGGAGGCTTTGTTGTTGAACTGTACAGTCATTTCTTTTGGCTTTGAGACTGTTATTATTTGTATAATTCTATCTTTGTTTGTATTTTGAAGCTTATATATTACTATATATTTATGTATGACTTCATTTTGTCTGTTTCTTTATATTAAAATGTGCTTAGAGTGCTTTTATATGTCTTGTATGCATATATATACACTATGTTTTTATTGATCACGAATCTTACGATTCACGATACGATTCGATTCACGATTCAAAAAATAAGCTTTCCGATACATTATGTGTATCTCGATTCAACTACCATGGTTAAAAGTCCTCTATCTAAAATGACACTAAATTGCAATCTGTATTTTATATTTATATCTATTTAATGAGTTTATTTAGCATGGTCTGAATGTTCCACGTGTATAATATCAGTGTTATTTTCTGCTGCAGCATCTGCAAGGGTTTGATTATCCTAAGGCGGCAGTTGAGCCAAACAGCAATGTAGGATTGTTTCAGAACAATAACCAGATGGCTTTCTCAAATGATGATAGTATGGGCCAAGTGCACAATGTGGTCAACAATTATGAGCAACCAAGAAACTTTGATACATTTGTTAATGGTGATACTGGAATCAGAATAAGGGCTCGTCAAGGACGAAATGAGCCAAACATGAACAAGGTGGCACAATTGCAAGGTATCGCACCTAGGAGAATACGATTGGGTGTCGTTAGGCGCCCACCTGGTTCCCTGACGAAAGATGAGAATTGTGCTTGTGCCCCAGAAGACCAGAATTCAAAATCCATCATTTCTGGGGTAAGTTATAACTTGCATGTCAAATTCATAGATGTCACTGCATGTTGTGAGACTTATGTGTTCCACTTTTGCAGGAGAGGAAGGCTTCTGAAAACCTTGCAGCTGATGAGAGTTCCACCGTTACTAATGATGTGGATGAACCAGAGAAAGCATCAGCTGAGTCAGCTGACATAAGAAAGACAAATCAGCAACATTTTGCAACTGTAAAATCCATCTCGGGAGTGAAAAACAGCCGCTACACATCAAAGGTTTCCTTTAACCGTGCCATGTGGTCTTATGTTCTTGCAGTTTCCGCCATTGTACTGGTCTCAGTAATACTCCTTGTTCAGATATGGGGATATGTCAGATCTTAAACTACTTACAAGTAGTGGATGATTACTTTTGTGCGGAATTTGCCTCCGTTGCTTTTTTGGCCAGTTAAGGAGGCGTGTAGGAACGAATGACTTCTTAGAGACATGTTGATAAGAATGTATCATATATGTATGTGCATATATTATGTAGTAGTCCTTGCAGAAAACAGGATATGGTAACATAGCCCCGTCTAGTGTGATAGAGACGTGTTGCAGTTAGATTCAGAGTTTGATCAGTTCCATTTTTGTTTTTGGGGTGTAGGGTAGTTTTCCTTGGGGGGGTCATAACACGCTGTTACCATGGGACATTGATTTTCACTTTACCACTAGTGCTTCGTTCCCAATTCCCATGTGGTTTTGTTGTATCTCTTTTCGGCTATGTTAACCAAGGAGGACCATTTTCTGTAGCTTTTACTAAACTGCAGGCCATCTCAATCCTTAAAATATATATATATTATGAAAATAAAGTATTAAAGCACATAGTTTATAAAATGCTAGCAGTTAGATCACTTTTTTACTTAAACAACTTATAAATATATTATTAGAGTATAAATAATAATAATAATAATTATTATTATACTATAAATCTAAAATGGTACTTAATTTTTTCTTACAAAAAGTCTCGGCAATGCATTCTCTAATATACTCTGTTTAACACATTATTATTGAAGATTATTTTTTATATAACTACAAAATTGAGACATTAAATACCATGTGACATTAACTAACTTTTATGATTTTTGATAAATTTGAACGAATGTTTACAATAGTGTGTTCGAGTGTTATAACTCTCGATTTATATATATAAGTTAAATTGTACTTCGATATGTAATTTTTGTATTTTATTTTCAAATAGTCATTTGATTTTTTTTTATTGTAAAAATGCAAATTTTTTGCATCCTTTCATTAAATTAATATCTATTAATTATTAAATTTAAATATTTACTCATATTTAAGTAATGTGACATTTAATAATATGATATTTAGAAATGAAAAATTATAAAGTATATAAATAAGATTTTTATTAATAAAATAATTATCGGTCATTAATAAAATAGATATAAATAAAAAAAAATTGTAAGTTATTTTTTTAATGTTTGTTCATATATGTTACAATATTAAATATCATGTCACTTAAGTGATGATAGATTACTAAGTAACGTTAAAATTTAACTATGAACAAACATCTAATTAACAATAAGATCAAAATTTTGTATTTTAATTGTCTTAATTTTAAAGTAGAGAGACTAAAATTATGAATTAATAAAAGTGGAAAGATCATAAGTGTAATTTAACCTTATATATAAACTAAATAATTTAAATTTACATATATTAAGAAAGTTTGTTATATGCATTTAATTTTTAGAATTTCATATGTAATAATATACACTAATTTCTAAAATTTCTTTAATCATATTTATAGTAAATAGCGCTCCCATTTATCATCTTAATGAGATTTTTTATTTGAACTAAGTGCATTAAATAAGATTGGTATTTTTAAAATTTAAATTGTCAATTTCTTATTTAAAAATTTAGGTTAAATTGTATTTTTAGTCTATCTATTTTCATCAACCCACAATTTTGGCCCCTATTTTAAAATAATGATATTTAATCTCTCTAATTTTAAAAATATAAAATGTTTGTCCTCTCCTTAAATTACAATCTACTCATATTTTAATTTTAACGTTTATACGTACTTAAGTAACATTTAGTAATATGATATTTAAAAATTAAAAAAAAAAACTAGAAAAACATGTAAACAAGATTTTTATTAGTAAATTAAATGTCAATCAATGGTAAAAAATATATACATATTTTTTTTTATATATTTTTCATTTTATTTTTATCCCTATATGACATGTCATTAAATATCACATTAATTAAGTGATGATAAATCAACACACAACATCAAAAATTAACAATCAATGAACATTAAAATTAAATAAGACCAAATTTATGTATTTTTAAAAATGAGAATAAATGTATTTATTTAAAAATAAAGGGAACAAAATTACATATCCATATAAAAATAGAAAGACAAAAGTGTAATTTAACCTAAAAATTTTAAATTTGTCACATTTGTAAAAATTAATAATAAATTATTTTAAATTTCTAAACAATTATGATCAAATTGATATAAATAAACAGTAAAGAAATAAATAAAACTTAAATAAATGATAAGTAAAGTCTTAAATATAACTATAATTACATCTGCCACTTTTTTCTTGATACATACGCATCTTACACTTTAATTTACAACGATGTTGTTCAATATACAAACATTTAATTTTTCGCATTTTAACTTTTCCAATTCCTTATTGTATTGTGTTCGAAATACAAACACTTTCTTTTAGTGCTGTGAGTTGGTGGCAGTGATAATATTTTTGTTTCATTTAATTTCATAGCTTAAAGAAACTTATCATCCAAAGTTTGGTATCATTTCTTTTCCGCAAATATTGTCACCATTGTTTCTTCTACAAATTTGGTGCAAGTTCTAGTATGTGTCGACTTCACTTATCAAATCTGAAATCCTCATAAATGAACAAAGCTTATTAAACGGGACAAAAGAGAAATCACAACAAAACACTGAGCAAAAACTTGAAACAAAATGAACAATTCAGATGTACCCATCAATCAAAAATGAGTTTGGTATTATTTCTCAATACCCTATATGTACTCTTGTGGCTATCATATTTTAATATTCTTATAATAACAGACTACGTACCTTTTAAACCATTCATAACATATTATAAACGCAATAAGGACAATAGCAACTTGTCAAATATTTTATGAAAAATAATCAACCAAAGTCTTGATGTTAAAGCTTCTGCATAAGATCAAATACTTTGTAGTTGAACTTGACTTGTAATCGTGAGTTGTGAATAAAAAGTATCTACGTAGTGTTGAAATACAAACAAGTTTCACATCAATAAAATAAGAGAAAAAATAGCTTATAAAAGTACACACATATTCTAATATTATAGAGACTTTTTAGGTGATGACCAAAAACAAAATTATGAGGGCTTAGACCCAAAGCGGAAGCCAAAAAGTACAAAAATATCTCCTTAGACAAATACCATAAAATAACCCTATCAGTGCTATAGATCCAAAAAGCAAAATCGCTTATGTCCAAAGCGAAAACCATTTTATTTTAGAAAAGTGGAAAGAAAAATGGCCTTAAATTTATAAATTGAGTAAAACGAGTTGTCACTCCTAATGTAAACTTACTACTTTGCAAGTGGATTCGATGGTTAAAACTTTGCTCAGTGTAATTAAAGATTATATCGACTTATCCTACTCAATGTGTGTTTGAATTGTAATTTAGAGTCACCAAACATTTTTCATGGAAAACAATAAATATGAGTTAAGATGTGTACTTTATTTTCTTCTTCTAATCACATTACTAAATTAAATTAATACAAAAAATAGATTCACTAAAAGGATAATTACATGGTGAATGGTGAGTACATGATGAATTGACGTTACCATACGTATTTACATTATTATACAGTTCTGATGATTTTTTTTTTTTGTATTTCCTTTTTTAGTTTTTCTTTCTTTCTTTTTTCTTCCAAATTTTGATGAGCCAATTATTTGACCTACCAATCCAAGTGTATTCAGCTAGTTGATTATTTCTTGGCTCATTATTAGAATGAGTTGGGTTAAGACAGTTACCTATATATTTGATATTTGGATTTAACTCATTTAAGGCATAAAATAAGCAAAATTTCAGGTAAAAAGTCATTTTTCTCGAATAAAAAAAATACAACTCTGATCGTAGCATGTGAATGACTCAAACATCAGTCCCGATTAGTTGCGTATTTTACCTTATGATATAAAATAAGTGAAATCATAACTACAAGCTAAAAAAAAAAGTCATTTTTCTTGAGGAAGGGTTGTTGGATACTCAAATATTTTCTAGCTCGGAGAATTTTCTTTCAAACAATTATTATAGATGAACTTCAACAGTTTCATTTTCATTTTGAATTAAGAAAAATAAAAAAAAAATTAAAAAAAGATGAGCAGAATTGTAGGCTAAATAAATGTCATTTTTGTTGGAGAAAGATTGCCGGATATTCAAACCTTCTAGAGACTTTTTTTTCAAACGATTATTAAATAAGGCTTTTCTTAACCAATCAAAAATTTAAAACAAGTTAATAACAAAAAAAAAACGGTCAACAAACAATAAAAACATAAACTAAGAGGACAAAATTTTCAATTGTGAAGCAATTATTTAGAAATTGATCCTAATTGTACGAGCCACTCCACACACCGGTTACCTTCTCTCAAATAAAGAAGGCTTAAGATACAAGAGAAGTAATGGCCGGTAAAAAAAAATGAAAGAAAAGTAATTTTTTTTTACATTAAAAAATACAACTTATACATACTAGAAGAAAAGACGCATTTCATACCTCTTTACTTAAAAAGATAAAAATAAAATAAAAGAAAAAGAAAAAAATTATATAATGGTTATAAAGAATATTCAAAGAGGAAGAGTGTTTTTTTCTTTTCTTTTTTTTGTTGGAAGATGATAACAAAAGAAGAAAAGAAAAAGAAAGCATTAGACACGTAAGAAAACAGTATCTGTAGCATCAGCCTGATTACAAGTCCGTGTACAAATGAAATGTCTCCTTTATTATGACTATAAATGATTATTTTCAAAATAAAATTCATTTTTTTCTAAATAAAGGTGTTAGGCCAGCCATGGCATCTTATGTTACACTTCTAAACTTACCAATCATATGCCATCAAAACAAAGAAATACATAAAAGAATAAAAGTGAACATAAATATGACCTATGTATCAGAATTAACAAAAAACTAAAAGGTTAACAAAATAAAAATCATCTTAATCAAAGAAAATAAAGAAAGATAAGCAAATTGTAATTTTAAAAAGGAGAGAAATAAATCATTTTTCTCACAGAAATAAAGGTTGCTTAAGACTCAAAACTGCTTGCAAAAATTATTTTCATTTTCCCAATTAGTTTTTTTTTTCATTTATGAAAATGATGTCTCTTGAATAAAGAATAAACAGAGGTACATTTATTGGCACTCAAAACATGGGACATATACCAGACAGTGAGACACTAACAAACCTTTACTTATCATAAGCAATTTGCCAAGCTGAAGTCAAACGCAACAAAACCAAGATTTAATGACTAAATATCGAAAAATAAAATTGAATGACATTGATATATCAACAAAGAAAAACAAGTTTATCTAAAGATATTCTAACAAATAATTTAGAGAAATAATGGATGGTAGGCATATATAAATATGAAAACAAAGGCAGATAATTGCAAAATAAAAACAAAGCCTCATTGAATGAGCCCGGTGTCTTTCAACAAAACAAAGTTACACCCTCCCTTTTGCACAGGTTTGACCAATACACTGGAACTAAAATGATATAAAGGTAGGAAAACAAAAAGCAAAATTTCAAACGATTATTCTGGGACGGTTCAAACCATAATACTCAATAACGTGGGGTTGTACCCATAAGATACCGATTCCTACCCGCACTAGTCTTTAAAACAACACCAACTTTGATCAGTACTTGTAGTCCTTAACATGGAGGCTCTCTGAGGCACCGTCACCAAGATCTTTGTTACCCTTGTAGGTTCCCAGAGTTGCCTCTGAGTTAGCCTTGGCTCTCACCAAAAGGGCATCCTGAGCCTTCTTCACATTCTCCTCTTTTCCGCCCCATGCCTTAAGGGTGCTCTGCTGAAGTGCCCTTCCAAAGGAGAAAGAGAGTGACCATGGCTTCTTCCCCTTGACCTGGTTTATGGCATTGAGGTTGAGGGATGCCTCCTCCTCACTCTGACCACCAGACAGGAAAACCACAGCTGGAACTGCAGCTGGCACTGTTCTCTGAAGGGCCCTAACAGTGTGCTCAGCAACCACCGCAGGGGAAACCTTTGGAGAATCAGATCCAGGGGTCACCATGTTTGGCTTCAATAGGGTACCCTCAAGAAGGACATGGTGATCATTCAAAGCCTTGTAGCATGCTGCAAGGACACGCTCGGTGACATCTGCACACTTGTTAATGTCATGAGCTCCATCAACAAGGATCTCAGGCTCCACAATGGGAACCAGCCCATTCTCCTGGCAGATTACAGCATATCTGGCCAAGCCGTAGGCGTTCTCATTGATGGCCAGCTGAGATGGCTCGTTGGGGCCAATCTTCAGCACGGCACGCCATTTGGCGAAACGGGCACCAGCCTCATAGTACTTGGCGCAACGCTGACCAAGGCCGTCTAGACCTTGAGTGGTGGTTTCACCATTAGTTCCAGCAAGCTCAACTGTGCCCTTGTCAACCTTGATACCAGGAAGCACACCAGCCTCCTTCAAGACATTCACAAAGGGCTTGCCTACATAATGTCCATTCACAGCAATGTCAGTTTAAAAGCAATGCCACTATCATCCATCTTAATTTCAACAAAAACAACCCACCAGAAAAATTAAAGCAAATTGGTAACCCCAAAAGGAAAAGTGAAGAAAAAAAAATGTTGGCATCAAGGTTTTAAAAGGGACAAAACATAGACACAATTTCCTAGGTAATTTTAGTGTTAAGGATTTAGGATTTAGAATTTAGGGTTTCACTTTGATAATCCTCTTAATAAAGGTGTACATGAATTACACGATAATACTTCAACTCTAATTGAAGAAGAACACCAAAAACACCTATAGAATTTTTGTCCTTTAAAAAACAGCTTGCAACCAAAACTACAGCCCAATTGCAGTAGCATCTACTGCATTGGGTAGCAATTTTCTACAATATAAATGATAACTGTAAAATAGCAACCAATGTGCACGGTCACTACAAAATTGCAATGATCAACATAAAAAATTGATACAAGACATAATTAGAATGCATGTTAAAAGCCAATGATGCAATGCTCGCCAATTCATGAATCAAACAAATTAAGGTGTAACAAAGTTGTTGAGAGTACCTGCAGCTGTGCTCTGGTAGAGGGTTTCCTCAAAGAGGATGACTCCACTGAGATATTGAAGAGCACCAGGAGCGGTGAAAAGGAGCTCCCTAAGAGCACGCCTGTTGGATTCAACGTTCTCAACATTGATGCTGGCCAAACGCTTGCCAATTGTTCCCGTTGACTCATCAGCAGCAAGAATACCCTTTCCGGGGGTTCCAATGTAAGCAGCGTTGGCAATAAGCTCATCTGCAAGCCGAACCATTAATTAACAACACCAAACAAGTATTAACCATACCACAACTCCAAAATTCCCCAAAATTAAACATTTCAATACATAATAGCCAAACCCAAATCAGTTACAAATTAAGAAAAAATCGTTGAACCTTATCAGTTGAACAAGGATGTCTTGTGGGGTTAAAAATAGTTAAACAGAAAAGAAAAAAAAAAACATCAATCCTGATGCAAAATATAAAAAAGACTCAAATATGTTGGGTAAAATTATTTTTGGTTCTTCAAATTTTAAATCGATCTTTTTACTACAATTGAGATAGTACCAGATTGATCCAATTGTACATGATCAATCGAGTTTAATGCTATGTTTCAATAAAAATGAAACTAACAGGTGAATTTTGTGCTAACAGATTTAATAAAAGATGAACTTTGTTCGACAAATTCCCTAAAACAAACAGACAAAAATAAGATTTTTTAAAATTACAAGACTCCAATTTTAAATTTGACAGACAAAAACAAATTCATCTAGTGAGGGAGTAAAAAGATACTCAAACCTTCAAACAATATTAGAACAAAAACCCTAGTAAAAAAGATCACATGGATTAACAATCATCACAAACTAATTTTTCACAAAATAAAAAAAAAATCCACAGAAAGCCAGATCTGAATCTCTGAGATCTAAATCGACACAAAAAAAAAAAGGATCAGAAAATAAAAAGCTACAAAAATTAAGATCTATAATAAAAAGACAGAATTGGTAAGAGAATAGATGGAAGGAAGCAAAGGGATACCATGGTACTTGCTCTTGAAGTTAGACATGGTGGAAGGTGAAGAGGAGGGTGGCGTTGTTGAATGGAAGAAAGGTGGGTAGGTTTAAGGTTGGGTGAAAGTGAACAAGAAAAAAAGAGAGTAAAGTGGGGTTTATATAGTGACAGCGATAATGACGATGCGTTGCGGAGACGACAAAGGGAAGAGAGTAGGGTCTTAACTCTTAACTACTCGACCTCGTTGGTTGGTTGTGTTCTGTGGACTGCCGTTGGAATTTTGGCTAACCCAAATTCAATGGCGGTTTTGGTTTTCCGAAACAGCGTCTGTGGATTCAACGGCCCGCCTTTATTGGGCCCAACGCCATCCAAGAAAGCCCACCGTCCACTTGTCATCAGTAATAATGTGAAAAGTTATAAGTCATGCAATGTCTGCCTCCTTTCCTTTCAATAATCTTTCCTTCTAATCAGATATTCTCACCCACTGAAATCCACCTTTTCCACTACTTTCCTCAAAAACTGAAATGTATTAAATAATATAACTTTAAATACCATTTTCATCAATATAATTTACTTTTTATTTTTGTAAAGGTTTTTTAACTATTATTATTATTATTATAAGATCTAAACATTTTACTTTTAATTATGTAGTTAATCACAATTATAAAGTTCAAAAGGAAAAATTTAAGTGTAATTGGTTTTATTTTTTAATTGGAATTACAAATTTATCTTCATAATATATTTAAATTTATATTAATGAGATTTGTATTAAATATAAATAGATACTATTACAAAAAAAAACTCTCCAATCCTAATTAAAAATAATGTCAACCATAATTAACAAATTGTACACTAATTTCTCGATAACATAGTGATACATGTATTTGAGATGATGTTTCAAGTCTCTCAAACCAATATTAAAACAAAAACTGTAAAAATTTGTGCTTTTGAAAAGTGGAATTTTTTGTTTGCATCAAGGCTTTTTCCAACATACAGAATATCATTACTCCTTTCGGTTTTTTTTTTACGTTTAAAATTTATATATAAAAATTAAAAAATAATTAATATATTAATTTTTTAAAGTACTTATTACTTATTTTCCTGTTATACTCTTTAAATAATTAGAAAAGAAATAGATACATTGAAAACATATTGTTTAATAAACATACATTAATTATCAAGGATAAAAATGAAAAAAAAATTAATAAATTATTAATTTTGAAAAAAATGACAATGATAAAAAATGTAGAAATAATAAACAATAACCTATGAGTAGTTTTAAAATAAAATAAAATAAAATAACTCTAAAATTTACTTTTCAAAATTTTTGTAGCTAACAACTTCTACATAAATAATATATTTTTAGTTTCTCAAATTTGAGATAAAATTATTTTAAATTTCTCAAATTTAAAATTGGTCTGTTTGATCTCTATAATTCTAAAAAAATTCTTTTACTTAAATTTTATTAGAGAATCTGTAAAATATTGCTGCATAAAATTTACTTTCTAGTACTCTTGTTAATAAAAATATCATATTAAATTTAATTGATACTATATAACTGGTTCAATATGTCACTTTTAGATATATTATTGATAAATTAGTGAGACAAAAACAAAATTTATAAAAATTTACATGATTAAAAATAATAATTTTAAATTTGAGAAACTAAAAATAAATTTATCTTAAATTTGATAGAGAAAAAACATATTTAAAACTTTTCTATATTATCTATACGAAATAATCCCTCTTCATAATAATATTTTTGATATTTTTCTCCAAAAAAAATAATTATATCAAATTAAAAATGTAATGGCTTAATAAAATATTAATTATATTAATTATTAATTATGAATAGTTTTAAGATGAATATAATAATAAAATTACTCTATTTTTTTTTTTCATGAAATTTCCATCAAGAATACTTCACATATAGAAGATTATAATGGAAATTTACGTAATTTTTTTTATGTAATATAAATAAGAAAAAAAATAATGCTTAATTCCTCACTTATAATAAAACAAGGGACTTTATCATAAATTTTTCATGTAATAACTTTTCATTTTCTATATTATTTGCATGCAATAATTCATCTTCATTATATTATTTCCTATGAAATTTCTCACAAAACAAAAACATTATTTATAGCAAATTAATTCAAATTATAATGACAATGATAAATCATTACTTATATTATTCACTAATTATACTAATTATTAATAATGAGCAGATTTAAAATGAATACAAATAATAAAACGAATAATTTTGCCATAAATTTTTCATGCAATCATTTTTTAATTTCTATATTGTTTGCATGCAATAATTTTTTTTTCATAAATATTATTTTCTTACAAGATTTCTCACAGAATAAAACATTAATTATAGCAAATTGAAACCGTAATAATATCTAAAATATTAATTTTATTAATTATTAATTATTAATTATTTTAAAATTAATATAAACAATAAAATTAATCTAAAATTTCTTTCTTAAAATTCTGGTATAATAAAGCGAACAATTTCTCCATAAATTCTCTAACCAATAAATTTTCATTTTTTATATTATTAACTTGTAATGATTTTTCTTCATAATATTTATTTTCAAAATTTTCCAAAAATAATAATTATAACAAATTGAAATTGTAATGACATAATAAAATATTAATTATCTGAATTATTAATTATAAATAGTTTTAAAATAAATAAAAATAATAAAATTATGTCAAAAGTTTTCATAGAATATTTCACGTATAGAAAAAATGTAATGAAAATTCACGTAACTTTTTTATGTAATATGTACCCCCCACATCGGCACCAGGGCCCACCCTGCCGACGATGAGCTCGGACCACGCCAACTCGGAAGGTTGGCCCATCTCTCCAACAGATAAGATAAGTTGATAAGAAGGAGATCTTATCATATCCTAACCAACTCAATTATCAACAGAAGAAAAATTCTAATTATATCAAGATAAGTGCACTATATATATGAGACCCATACATTCACAAAGACTAACTTAAGCATTGGAGTCTCTTTTGCAGGTACCACTCCCATCTCGAAGCAGCAGACGTACCAAGTAGAAGAGGCTCACCGATCTTACACAGAGATCGTCTCACCCACCGATCTTACAAAATGCGTGCAAAACCAGGCAATGGCAAAAACACCAACCATAAGGAGAAGCTCAGGGTCTCCAACGAGACCAACTTCAAGCAATCACGCCAAGGTAAGGGACCAAGTTACGATTTCTACACTCTCCTAAACACACTTTGCATCCACATCCTTGACGAGGTAGCTAACACCGACCTCATCTCCCTGCCACCTCTGGCACACACCCTGGCGAACGTCGACAAGTCCAAACACTACCGGTACCACCGCAACTTCGGCCACACTACTGAAGAGTGTTGGACATTGCGCGACAAAATCGAAGAACTCGTACAGGCCGATCATCTAGGACAATATGTCCAACGATCCCAGGCCAACAGAGGAGGGCACGCCGGACGGGGATGCGGAAGAGGGCGAGGATACCACTCTCGCCACGATCAAGCTACCGGGTCCAAACCCAACATCGGGCACGTCGACTAGCCAGAGCCCAGCTCGGAACCCAACTAGGCCCCCCTACGAGGTGTAATCAACATCGGAGAATTTGCTAGGGGAGGCACCAACAACTCGGCCTGCAAGCAACATCTTCGCAGTGTCAACCATGTCTATAATATAAAAAAAAAATTATGCTGAATTTCTTACTTACAATGAAAACCACAGCTTTGTCATAAATTTTTCATGCAATAATTTTTTTTTTTATATTATTTACATGCAATAATTTCCCTTCATAATATCATTATTTCTTTTGCAAAATAGCACTAAAATGCATTAGTTAAAGTGTTGTTATAATGTATTATTTGTGTGGGAATTATAGCATTATCTTTTTTAATTTATTTTACCATGTGGCCATCATGAATAGGAACAGCATATATTAGAGAATTGCAACATGTGAATTTCAGGAAAGAACCAAATTTGACTCAAACATTATAATGAAGTATATATATGGGAAAACGGTACATTTTTGGGCTTAAACAATATCATTATTTTTATATGGAAAAAAATTATATACGATACATTCGATCACAATTCATCATTTATGATAAGTTTGTTTAGTTTATTATTTTAAAAGTCATACTAATAATAATTTTTACTAGTCTATAGTTTAAAAACTTTTAAATTTAATATGAATGATCATTAAACACTTATTTTTTTAATGAAAAATTTAAGATGAAATGGTGAGCCAACCCAAATAAGAAAATGGTATGCATCAAAAAAGCCTTGTTGAAAAAACTTACATTTACGACATTTAAACACACGAGTAATGGCCAGAAGGCCCAGAACCAGAGGACGCAGTCATATATCTTATATCCAATGGCAAGTTTTTGGGCTCTATTAAACTGGAACAGTCTTACATCACATATCCTTCCACACCTTTTGAAAATTGAATGCCCTCTTTTGGCACCAAGGAATCATGCATAAAGCAAGTGAACATAGACTAATGAGGATTTTTTTTTTAATTTTATTTTATGATAATGCTATTCCTACAATACAACAATGTCTTTAAACATATTTTTAAGGGTACACTACAGTATCACGTAGTCGAAAGTGATGAATTAATTTTTATAGACATTCAAATTTATTTAAGGAATTAATTTCTCTTAATATATTTTTTTTTTACATACATGTGAACTAGACATTAAATCTTTGACCAAATATTAAAATGAAAAAATTATATACTAATCATATCATACATTGTTAATATCTTAAAATATATCTTACAACAAAAAAAATCGGAGATACATGGGAAGAAAAAAGAGAGAGAGAGAAGTGTAGGATATTATAAGGAAATAAGTTAAGTCTTTCACTTTCTCTTCATTATGCAATAAAGACATTTAAAATTAGTTATTTTGAACTTTTAAAACTAGTTGTATTCCTAATTTTGTAACAGTCAATTTAGTAGTTATGAATTTTTAAAATTGAGTGAGAATCGATTTTAAAAGTCTATTTTTTAAATCAGTTGTTTCATACAAAATGGATTATGAAAACATACAAGATCGGTTAATGTGTAATCGATTTTGTTTGTAGTACATACAAAATTAATTATGCAATAATTAATTTTATAAGTATAATTTTTTATATGACATGTCTATTTTGGGACAATTTGATGGAATCATGCCAAGGCCAAGAAGACC